CATTGTTCTAACTTTTTCAATTATATCATAGTAGTATTACATGGACAAACAAAAACATATTGTAAATCTTAGCAATTACAATACTGAGTTTATAATTGTATAGCAACAAATAATCAAACGGAAACCAAAATTGAATTCATATATTCAAACATATTGGAATCAGTGCACGAAGAGTTGAGATTTTAGTAATCATACTTTTGTTTCCCTGGAGAATTGCGAATAGCTAATGAAAACTTGTGTTCTGCGATTGAAAACTATGTGCGATCGAAAACTATTGTTTCTCTTAAACAATTGTGTTCTGCAATCGGTAAACATCTGCGATCAACCGTATGAAACACAACGGATCTGCGATCAGCTGTAGAAGGCTTGAAACTAAGGTCGGCGGAAGCTCTGGGTTTCTATTTTCTGCGCACGTATCAGGATCGGAAGCTCTGGGTTTCTATTTTGGTTAAACGATTTTCATTTATATATGAGGTTACTTTTGAAAATAAAAAATTCCGTATCTTAGTTTTGAAAACAAAATCTAAACTTGAAAACATTGATATTATTTCCCTTGTTGGGCCTATGTGTGAAAATTCCCCTGGAAAGTTTTTACATTTTAAAAGTTGTCCAAACGTTACTCAAAAGGTCCACTAGGCTTTGTGATTACTATTGCCCTTGTAATTTTTAAAATTTATATCTATTCCCTCTTAAAAGTGAATTTTACGGGTATTAACATAAAGAAAATACACCCAAAAAAAACATAACCAAGTTGATGTTTTTTAATATGAAACATTTAGATCCCATTTGGTGACTCTATTTTTCAGCTTATCTGCTTTAATAGTCAACTTTCTAATCAAACACGTAACTTTTAATTTCGCGCGCTAAATTGTGTAATAATAAGAAAAAGAAAGGCTGGCGTTACTTTTTTTACTGTATTGATTGAATTACTGTTGATGACCCTTTTAGCTATTTTTCATATAATTTTTTCGTTATTTTATGAATAAAACATTTTCTAAATATATTTTATACGGACGAGAGCTTCTCTCCCTCGCAGAGCGGCTTGCCTGCGTAGGGTTTAGGTTTTCGCCGCATAAGCGTGCGACCAGCTTTTCCCTTGTCATGGGGATGGACCGATGGAGAGACTGGTTTCTTGGCTTTAGATTCTCGATCAATACCTAAGATACAACGGTGACCAAGTGAAACTCTCCATAGCAGTTTTCCTTGTGCATGGAGCAAGGCTTGTAACCGCTCACTTGTGGTATCACCGGCAGTGACTACATCGTCACCTGTTTTGGCCTCTGATCATTTGGTCTTGGAAGAAGATGAAGTGTTGATGATCCAACATCCTCTTCAGCCGCTGCAATGGAGTAAACGAGTGGTTAAGGTTTGCTTTAGTTTTATTTCAAGTTTTATTTTTAATTTGATAGATTATTGCCTTATTTTCGTATGGTTTGAGTTAGTAGCAGTCTTGAGTTATCTAGTTTAGCTATAATCGGAAGTATTGAAATCTCTATAGACATTAATTACTTCTTAGTTCCAGTATGTTCAGCGAAAAGTTTCGCTCAATTTTGGGTTAACTTTTATATGTTTGATCAAGGACTAAGGAGACCTTTTGGCTATTATGAATCTAGTGAAGTGGTAAGGAGTACGGTGACCTTAAAGGTCATAAAGAACTCTATATTGCCCGTTTGACGGTCAGCGATTCACGCTGCTTTTATATATGGAGGTGGCTGTCTCATAGTCTGATCGTAAGATGCTTGTTGAGTTAAGATGAAGTTTGTTAGAAGATAAGTGGTGGATTTTGAGGGTTATAACTCTTGATTCGTTTAATATTTTAATATAAATTTCTTTTCCTTTAAAAAAAAATATATTTTATTCATAAATCAGTAGAACTAACCAATACAGTCACTTCAACCAAAACTTCATAAATTTCAGCAGAATCAACCGATTGAATGTTACCAAACGAGCTATAAAAGCCCATTTGATGCCTCTGTTTTTTGGCTTATAAGGCGTATCAGCCAACTTTTTCACCAAACATATAACTTTTTATTACGCGCGCTGAATTGTACTCCCTCTGTCCCAATTTCATTTGCAAAATTTTCTATTTTGGTTATCCCAAAATGATGTTCCACTTTCTATTTTAGGCATGTAAATAAGAATAAAGTGACAAATATACCCTTACTTTTACTTTTTTCCATTAACTTAAAGGCATCTACTTTTTGGAAGATGGGCACAATCGTAAAAAGCAAGCATCATTTATTGGTCTTCCTTAATTCTTGTGCATGTCAAACTTTGCAAAACAAATTGGGACAAAGGTAGTGTAATAATAAGAAAAAGTAAGGCTGAGGTTACTTTTCTAACTATATTGGCTGAAGTTACTATAAATGATCATTTTAGCTATTTTGTCATATAATTTTTTCTTTATTTAATTAATAAAATAAATTTAAATTTTTTCTTCATAAATCAGCCAATCCAACCACTTCAGCCAGTACTAGGAATGGATTGGATCCGGGCGACCAGGTCGGGGACCGATACTGTTGCTACCGGCCTGGGTCCGGTTTTTCAGGACTGGTGGTTATAAGGGGTGGGCTTCGGGCTTGATTTTTTGGATCTGGTCTAGCCAGGCCCAACTATGGATGGACTCGGGCCGGGTGGCCCGACCCGGAACCGGCCCGGGACCGGTACTGTTCCGGCTCGGCCCGACCCGACCCGACCCGGTGGCCCGGTCAGTGACCGGTCCAGGTAGGCCCGGCCCGTGGGTTTTCCGGTCCGGGCTCGGGTCACCCAAAACAAGGCCCGACCCGGCCGGGCCCGAGCCCGGTTCAGGCAAAAAACTTTTTTTTTCAATTTTTTTAAATTTTCGGGTTGGGCTGGGTATTTTGGGCCATTTGGGGTGGTTTGGGGGGTTGGGGGTGGGAGGGGGGTTAATTAGGAAGAGAAAAACAAAAAAAATATATAATGGGCCCGGCCCGAACCGGACCCGGTGGTTACCCGGGCCGGTCCCGGGTCCACCATTTCAGACCCGCCGGCCCGCCCGGGCCTAGGCCCGACCCGGACCTAAGTCCATCCATAGGCCCAACGACTATTTAAAAAAAAACTAATTAAATGGATGGGTATCAACCCAGGCTCGAATCAGGCCAAGTACTGTTTGAGCCCGGGCCAGAACTAGTATCGGAGCATACCGAACCGGTACCAAGCTCCATTAATAAAGAAATAAAGAATCGATACCTACCCAAGTCCATTTCTAGCCCGAAGTTCATAAATTTCAACAAAATTAGTCAATGCAATTGATTTGGGTATCACTATTACCATACATGATACATGCTTTTAGTGTCCTAAAAATAAAAATGATGTATTCCATATTTCCAAATTCTTGAAAACCCAAAAAAATAGAACAACCCCTATATTTTGTATTATTTTTCCTTACAAGGCTTTCAAAGAAAATAAAAATAAAATAGTAGGGATACTAACTAATATAGAAAAAATAAGAGTAAAAAATTTGGAAAAGCTTCCCCTATGTTACTTTTCAATTCCTTTTTGTCATCATTGTTGTTGCGTTTGTAATTCCTCTTTGTAATTGGGGATGGACTGGGACAGGTCAACCCGACCCGGGCCTGGCAGTGTTTAGTCTCAGCCCAACCTGGTTCTTTTTAGGCCCGGAGCCCAACCCTATGGCTATAAGGGCAGACTTCAGGCTCATTTTTTTAGGCCCGACCTGGCCGAACCCAAGCCCGATTGCACTATTTTTTTTAATTTATTGCCCAGGCCCAATCCCAGCCTGGTAGGGGTGGACTCGGGACCGGCCCGGGTAACAACCGGGTCCGGGCCGGGCCGGGCCCATTATAATTTTTTTTTTGTTTTCCTCTTCCTAATTAACCCCCCTCCCACCCCCAACCCCCAAACCACCCCAAATGGCCCAAAATACCCAGCCCAACCCAAAATTTTAAAAAAGATTGAAAAAAAAATTGTTTTTGGCCCGAACCGGGCCCGGCCGAGTTGGGCCTTGTTTTGGGTGACCCGAGCCCGGACCGGAAAACCCACGAGCCGGGCCTACCCGGACCAGTCACTGACCGGGCCACCGGGTCGGGCCGGGCCGGAACAGTACCGGTTCCGGGTCGGGCCACCCGGCCCGAGTCCATACCTACAACCTGGTATTGTTTAGGCCTGACTCGGTCCCGATACAAACCCGGGCCAGTACCGGGCCTGAAATTTTTAGTCCCAGTCCCGCCCAATCCCGACACGTAGCCCAACCCGACCTGGTCCCGGTCCAATCCCAATTTGTAATCATTGTTGCATTTTTTGTCAAAGTAGGTTTTGGTTTGAATCATCTGGCCCTCCTACTCTTTATACTTTCCTTTTATTTTAATTATTGGTGGGGTTCGATTAGGGTTTGACTCGGGTCCGGGCCTAGGCCCGGGCGGGCCGGCGGTTCAGAAATGTTGGACCCGGGACCGGCCCGGGTAACCACCGGGTCCGGGCCGGGCCCATTATTATTATTTTTTTGTTTTCCTCTTCCTAATTAACCCCCCTCCCACCCCCAACCCCCCAAAACACCCCAAATGGCCCAAAATACCCAGCCCAACCCGAAAATTGAAAAAAAAAATTGAAAAAAAAACAAAATAGGTTTTGGCCCGAACCGGGCCCGGGCCCGGCCGGGTCGGGCCTTGTTTTGGGTGACCCGAGCCCGGACCGGAAAACCCACGGGTCGGGCCTACTTGGACCGGTCACTGACCGGGCCTCTCTGGACCGGTCACTGACCGGGCCACCGGGTCGGGCCGGGCCGGTTCCGGGTCGGACCACCCGGCCCGAGTCCATCCCTAGGTTTGATGGCCCCCAATCCAAAACTCACGCAAAAAGAAAATGCATCTGGTGGCAACTGGCAAATATTCGAATTGATTTTGTACAGTTTCTAAATCCTAAAAAGAATCAGATTTAAATTTGTTGTACTTCAGCTTTTTCACAAAGTTGGAAAAACTATTGGACATCAATTATATATTCGCTTATTCATTCTTAAATTTTTACCTTTCTTTCAATATGACAATTTTTTAGCAAATAAAACAGTATGGTTGAAATTTGGTTAGAGAAGGTAGAAATAATTCCAAACAGAGTCCATCCTTGTATTTTGTACAGAGCTACAGAAGCAATGTATTACGGAGTATTGAAAGTTAATGAATCACCAGACGATATACTCGTACATGCTTTCTTTTCCATAAGTATTACGGAGTATTTTTTCTTTTTGTTTTGTTACACCCCCTTTCGCTGATGCATTTTAAGGGGGGGAATGTGCGCAAAACAAAAGAGACATTGTGCAATATTCTTCCCATCAAACTGGATTCAGGCTGTTGTTTATGCACACTGCTTACCAACCATTGATAATCAGACAATGCCTTGTCTGATAATGGCTCCAGAAACTCGCATCTTGACAAGATATCAGGTGGAGGCACACCAGAAGCGATTAGATTTGTGTCAAGTTTTGGCCTTCTTCCTACAACTTCTTGAGAGACCATTTCTTCTACTGCTGATGGTGGGGTTCCATCTAGAGCATATGGAGTTGCACCAGGGATGACCTCCACCTTGAAGGGCGATTCTCTTTCTGACTGTAAACAGAACTCTATCCACTGGCCCACTAGTGGGGAAGGCCCTCTCACTCTCCCCCCAATTTCATCATAAGATGATGCAAGTCTTGTGGTGGCCGGTATTGCCTAAGTTAAGCCCACAAAGTTGTTTAGCAAACGTGTATGCTGAGTGAAGAAGAATGTGATAATAAAAGTTCGCCAAGCACTGTTTATTGTCACTGCTTTGGTTGAATCCAGTGATAAATAGAAAAAGTAGTGCATGAGTGTTGCTTTTTGTGAAGCCGAAGGGGGGTTTGGATAGTTTTGACTTTAGTTTTACATTTTATCCTTTAATTAATCTGAATATACTCCCTCCATCCAATTTAGATGTCCTATTATTTTCTATATCAAATTTATCAATGAAATTCGGGTTTTGCGGCTTAATAAAACATTACAACTCCTTAATATGAACTAAATAGTACTACAGGAGGAATAACTTAGTCAAGTCCTGCAACCTGAAATAGACCCTTGTGATTTGGGATGGATGGGTATATTAAAATAATCTTTCTTCAGATAATGCAATTCTGCAACCTCATTACCAAATGGGCTCCTAGTTTTTAAGGCGTTTCCCGGAATTCCTAGAATTGATTCTGGAGTCTTGAAACTAACTTCAATAGCAGTTCACACCATAATTCTGAAAACCACTTCCCATTATAGAAAGGGGATGAAGAGATGTTTTCAAAAGTGGGAGTAAAAGTAGAAAAGAATTTAGACATACCCAAAAATCAGCCCATAAACTTGCACCAGATTTAGGAACAATTACTGCAATGTTTGACATCCGCTTGGCAGCAGGAAGCACATCGCTACTCCATCCAACAGCTACCCATACATCTTCCACCCCAAATGCTTTAAGATAGTTTTGACTGTCAAATAGCCGAACCTGTGGAAAATAAACATAAAATCATCACAATAATTAATTAATAGACATTTAACTTTTACTTGCATATTACGGAGTATTTTTCAAAAAGGTGTCAAGGGCCATGGTACAAGATCTAGTCCAAGGTCGATGCTTCTGAGAAGAACAAGAAAAATATGAATCTATGGTGCCTGAAATATTAATCGACTCCCGCCCTCGGCAAGGAGTTTGTCGCAGGTTCCACCGTACGCCAAATAAAATTAATATTCCAAAGCTGATCTCATTAATCCAACTGATAAGCCTTAAATAGGATAAAGACAAGTTTCCTAAAACAATAATAGGAAAGAAGTAATACAGAAGCTCCTAAACTAGTATAAGGAAACCTGAATAAATAAACTCAAAGTAGGAAACTGATTTAATTAATTAAAATAGACTCAAAGTAGGAAACTGATTTAATTAATTAAAATAATGAGGACCACTCAAGCTGGTCCCTTCTTTGACCGCCTCTGGTAGACTCTGCCAAATCGACCCATATCATCACTCCCTCCGTTGACAACGAGCTTGTCCTCAAGATCGAAATCAGGAAAATTCTCACAGAAGGAATCCAATGTTTCCCATGTAGCCTCTTCCAAAAGTTGTCCTGCCCAGTGGACAAGTAGTTCCCAGCAACCCTGATATGGACGAGCCTTCAAAATGGACAGAGGTTGGAGTGGGGGTGGCAGGCTGTTCAGTTTTGGTAAGGTTCCCATCGTCAAAGGTGTGTCTCCTCTGTGTGGCTTGAGTAAAGAGACATGAAAGACGTCATGAATTTTGCTTGATGGAGGAAGTATCAGGCGATAGGCAGCTTGCCCAATAGCTTCCTTTATCTGAAAGGGCCCAAAAAACTTGGGTGAAAGCTTGTGAGTATGCCTGATGAGTGACAATGGGCGATGTGGATGAATTCTGAGCCAAACCCAATCACCTGGGGTGAATGACAAATCCCGATGGCCCTTATCGTATTGGAGTTTCATACGTTGTTGAGCTTGGAGCAATCTGGTCTTGGCTATGGTGAGGATGGAGTCGCGGTCAATGAGCGCTTGGTCCACTGCGTCGAGCTTGGCAGTGCCAGGTGTGTAAGAAAGTAGCTTGGGCGGGTCACGACCATACACTAACCTGAAAGGAGTATCACCTAAAGATGTATGGAAAGATGTGTTGTAGCAATACTCCGCCCATGGAAGCCAACGAACCCAATCTCGTGGACAGTCGCCGGTAGTACAACGGAGGAACATTTCCAAGGTGCGATTCACCACCTCAGTTTGACCATCTGTTTGAGGATGGTAGGCTGAAGAAAATCGAAGTTGGGATCCACAAAGACGGAATAACTCACGCCAAAAGGAGCTCACAAACACTTTATCGCGGTCAGAGACAATTGATTCTGGCAGGCCATGGAGGCGAAAAATTTCAGAGAAGAAGACTGCTGCCACTGAAACAGCCGTAAATGGATGTGCTAGTGCAATGAAATGAGCAGCCTTAGATAACCGATCAACAACCACAAAAACAACTGATTTTCCCCGAACCTTGGGCAATCCCTCGATGAAGTCCATGGAAATATCTGCCCAAATGTGATGAGCAATGGGCAGGGGCTGCAACAAACCTGCAGGCTGGAGGTTCAGCCATTTGTGTTGTTGACACACTTGGCAATCCCGCACATGGTCAGTGATGGTCTTTTTCATGCCAGGCCAATAAAATTCGCGACGCACCCTCTGTAACGTCTTAGCACTGCCTTCATGGGCCATGGAGTGGAACAAATTGACTATAGTTGGAATTGCAGCAAAAGATGGCAGTAAGTACACTTTATGTTGGAAAAATAGCAACCCCTCTCGATATGCCCACTCGGTTCCCAAGGCACCTTCGTCAAGCTGGCGTCGAAGAGCTCCAATTTCGGACGAGGAAGCTTGTTCCTTACGGATATCCTCAAGCAAAGTTGTATAAGGAATGGACAACGCTGCTAGGTGAGGCTGAGACTCATCACGACGAGATAAGGCATCGGCAACCGTGTTGTACCAACCAGGTTTGTATTCTACCCGGAAATTATACCCCATCAACTTACTGAGCCAATGTTGTTGGGGAGAAGTCGTTAAGCGTTGCTCCAGTAAGTGTTTCAAGCTAGAATGATCGGTACGAATTAAAAATTCTTGCCCCCAGAGGTACGGTCGCCAATGGGTTACTGCCTTGGCCAACCCGATCAATTCCCGCTCGTATGCGGCTAATTTGATATGACGATCTGCTATTTTGCGGCTGAAATACGCGACAGGATGACCCTCTTGTTGCAAAACTGCCCCAAAGCCACTCCCTGAGGCATCACATTCAATGACAAATGGAATTGAAAAGTTGGGCAGTTGAAGTACAGGAGCTGTGGCCAAGCAATGTTTAAGTTGGTTAAAGGCAACAGTGGCCTCCTCATTCCAATGGAATGAATGTTTCTTTAAGAGTTGCGTGAGTGGCAAGGCAACCTCCCCATAATTTTTGATAAATTTACGGTAGTAGCCAGCCAGGCCTAGAAACCCCACGCAAGGCCGTTAGTGTCCTTGGCAGAGGCCACTCTTGGATGGTTTTAACTTTCTCCTGGTCAACCTTGACGCCTTTTTCGTGAATGATGTGACCCAAATACTGCACACTATCAGTTCCAAAATAGCATTTGGAGCGTTTAAGAAATAGCCCATGTGCTCGGAGGATATCAAAAACTAAGCGGACATGATGGATATGCTCCACCCAGCTCTTACTATAGATTAAGATATCGTCGAAGAAGACCAGAACAAACTTCCGGAGATAAGGGCCAAAGATGTCATTCATTAGGCATTGGAAGGTGGATGGGGCATTAGTGAGGCCAAAGGGCATGACCAAGAATTCAAAATGACCATGGTGTGTGCGGAAAGCTGTTTTGGGAATGTCCTCCTGGGCCATTCGAATTTGGTGGTAGCCAGACCGGAGATCCAACTTCGTAAAAACTTTTACCCCATGGAGCTCATCCAACAATTCATCGATCACCGGAATTGGGTATTTATCCTTCACTGTTTTACTGTTCAACTCTCTGTAGTCGACACAGAAACACCACGAGTCATCATGCTTCTTAACCAAGAGCACTGGAGAAGAGAATGATGAATGACTAGGTTGAATGATCCCTTGTTCTAACAATTGCAGCACATTGTCGCTCAATCTCATCCTTTTGGAAGTACGGATAACGGTAGGGGCGGGCCACAACCGGGCCACAACCAGGAACTAAAGTTATGCGATGATCGCATGGCCGTGGAGGTGGCAGACCGCGCGGTTCCTGGAATAAATCCTGGAAGTTGCAGAGAATACCTTCTAGGGGTGAATGCTCATGTGAAGTGGGAAGTGCCATGTTTGCTGGTTTGCAGTATGGCGTTGGGTTGCCCTGCCATATGACGGTTGCACCCATCCAATGAAATTGCATAGACAGATTGTGAAAATTCCATACGATCGCGCCTAAGCCTCGTAACCACTGGACCCCCAAAATCATATCAAAACCAGCCATGGGAAGAACATAAAAATCAGCATGGAAGGGAACTCCCAAAACCTCAAAAGTTAACTGAGGACAGCTACCCAAAATAGGGACCTTTTCGCCATTTGCCACCACCACAAATAAAGAATTGCCTGTGGGTGAACTATACTCGAGTCCTTGAGCCAATCGTGCATGCACAAAATTATGCGTGCTCCCAGAGTCGACTAGAATCAGAACTGGTTTACCTCGCAAGGAAGCTGTAATTTGCATTGTTGTGGGTGAGCAGGAACCTGACATGGCATTGAGGGACAAGGCAAAGTCAGAATCGATTGTTTCATCGCCTTCGTCATCCCAGATTTCCAAGGCAAAAAGCTGCTTGCAACGATGACCGCGAACATAACGTTCATCACAATGATAGCAAAGACCTTTGGCTTGGCGACTGGCTGCCTCCGCTCCGGAAATCCGACGACGCCAAGTGGGAGGCTGCTGTGAGTCCTCAATGGTCAGCTTTGGATTTGAAGCAAGCAGACTGGTTTGTGATGCGATAGGCATAGGGGATTGTCTTGGTTGAGGTCGTGTGACTGGGAGTAGTGCCACAGATTGTTGTTTGCGCTCAATCTGCCTGGCCAGATTCATGGCAACGTCCAAGCTTCCTGGAGCCTGAAACTCCAGTTCTAAACGGATTTCCTGACGAAGCCCTGCCATGAATGCGTTGACTTCGAATTGACTGGGTAATCCATCTACACGCGCCAACAGTTTCTGAAACAAACTAATATATTCCTCCACTGTCCCCGTTTGTTTGAGTTGAAAAAGATCTCCCGAAGGGTTGGTGCTTAAAGGTGGTCCAAAACAAAGGAGACAGTTTTCAGAAAAGGTGTTCCACGATATACCTGCACGCAGTTTATCTGCCCAGAGTTGAGCATCGCCTGTCATGTGAAAAGTAGCTAATCCGACACGTGCGATGGGGGCTGTCTGTTGATGTGAAAAAAATCGTTCACAACGCTTCAGCCAGCTCAGTGGGTCACTTGTACCATCATAGGTAGGAAAATCGAGTTTGGAATAGCGGGGCACAATGTTATTCTCGCTACTGACTCGAGTGTGGTGTTCGTGAAATTCCCTATGATCACCATGGGATCCGGAGGGGCTGTTACTGTTGGAGTCAGTATGTGGGCCTGCAGATTTACTAGTCAGGGTGGCAAGCTGCGTGGAAAAAGATGTAACGAGATCTGTAATTTTTGCCTTAAGCGATCCTTGTCGCTGGTTAATATCTGCCATGAAGGTTTTGAGTGTCTCTGCGGTGATGTGCTCGTTCCCCATCGTTCTGGATACTAATACCAAATTGTTAAGGGCCTTGGTACAAGATCTAGTCCAAGGTCGATGATTCTGAGAAGAACAAGAAAAATATGAATCTATGGTGCCTGAAATATTAATCGACTCCCGCCCTCGGCAAGGAGTTTGTCGCAGGTTCCACCGTACGCCAAATAAAATTAATATTCCAAAGCTGATCTCATTAATCCAACTGATAAGCCTTAAATAGGCTAAAGACAAGTTTCCTAAAACAATAATAGGAAAGAAGTAATACAGAAGCTCCTAAACTAGTATAAGGAAACCTGAATAAATAAACTCAAAGTAGGAAACTGATTTAATTAATTAAAATAGACTCAAAGTAGGAAACTGATTTAATTAATTAAAATAATGAGGACCACTCAAGCTGGTCCCTTCTTTGACCGCCTCTGGTAGACTCTGCCAAATCGACCCATATCAAAAGGCATCAAGGCTATGTGAGTATGTATACTAAGGCTCTTTTTCTATATGAGTACAAACCTCACGGGGAGACCTCTCCATCTGGACGGTCTACTTATCTTTCATGGAGTGACATACACCCCTAATGGACGGCTAGTCATCTCCATCTGGTCAAGTGCATTTGTTTTCAAAAGGCCCCAACATCAAGGCTATGGGTAATTGGGTAGGGCAGTGATACCATATTCTAACAATTCACTAAAAATTCGTTATTCTTCAAAAGGAACATACATTGGAGTACTAAATCACAAACATTCACCTACGATAAAGAGGACTCAGGCCATCATCACCCACTGAAGTACACATACATTTACCTGTTTAACTAGTGCTGCAAGATTCTGCTGAACAGCATTTCGGCCACCAGTCACTTCAGAGTCCAAATCTTTTGTGTTATATGACGCCCCCATATATTTCAGAACTGCACCAATGATTTCTTGTGGTGAATCAACCATAGAAATTCTTCCTGCAAGCTCTGGCCGCCATAAATCATCCCAGTCCTGTGATGCGATTCACACAATTACACCCTTTCATTAGTAAAACATCTCAAACGAATAAACTAACTCTTATACATAACCAGCTCTATATACCGCCACTGAGCACATTTGACATGTATTAGATCAATTTTGAACCAACTCAATCCCATTCTTCTTTTACCTTGACAAGTAGCAAAGTAGGGAAGTGGACCGGAAAATGACTAAAACATAGCTAGATTCCTTAAATATGACTACTACAGCCGATATTACTAAACATAAATATTGAGACCAGAATACCCTTTTGTATTTTGAATAACTTAATATTAGAAACAACCAATGTCTTCTCACAATTCAACTTCTACCATCTTCGAGTATGATACCTCTGCCGCCAGCGTCACTGCCTGTACTAAACCAATTCCTGACTAACTTCTCATTGTCTCTGTCTCCACTGCCCATGTCAGCTTCACCGCCCATCTCACTTTCCCATAAACACACGCCTCATTGTCATTTCCAGTACATAAATACACTGCCCACATCTCCACTTCCCATAAACACACTTTTAATCATTGCCTTCGCTTCACTACGCACCGACTTTAATGTCCGTTGCCTTTGTCACATTCACTTCATGTTTCATCTGACTTCATCAACCACTGAAGTCAAAGCCCATCATAAATGTCACCTACACAGGCTTTCACACTGAGAGATAATGATAATCTAAAGTAGGGGTGGCATATTGGTTTTCGGTTAAGTTTTTATTGGTTTCGGTTTAGAACGGGTTGGAAGAATTATTACCAAACAAAACCATACTATTATTCGGTATGGTTCGGTTCAGTTTAGTTCGGTTCGGATTGGAATTATGATTTTTTAATAATATATCAAGGTTTTATTTAATTTCTTTAGTTCGGTTCGGTTTTTATCGGGTTTGATTCGGTTCGATTTAATACGGTTTGGAAGAAATACTACCAAACTCAAACGAAACTGCATATGGTCCGGTTTCGGTTTAGTTTGGTTTGGTACAGTTCGGTTAAACCAAACTGATATGCCCACCCCTAATCTAAACCTACCTTACACAAAGCCTGACCGAAGCCAACAGATTGAATCACATTTGGTGATCATCGTTCCTGGTTATTCCTATCCCGGGAAAAGCCTGGCACCATCAGACCCAAGGTCGGCTTGCTATTAGCAGCTGACAGAGATTGAGGAAGAAGTCACAGTGGCGGCAGCTATCTGCCATGATAAAAGAAGAAGTGATAGATGCCATGGAGCAGCGACAAAAGACAACAGAAAATTACAATGAACTTAAAAGATTGTCTGTCATCTTCTATGTAGAAGATTGGAGAAGGAAGATCCATAGAACTGGTCGATGGAAGGAGGTGGAAGTTAAGGGAGAAAGGATAACAATGAATTGAGGAAGAATGAAGATGGGGTCTGCAGAAAAACAGCACATGTGTGGGGATGTAATGGAGAGCTATGGTTATAAGTTTAATTAATCTTCTTTAAATACTACCAAAGGAGTATTATTTTGGAAATATAAACAAGGTCATATCTACGGAAACTTGGTATGTTGGAGTCACATACAGAGTAAACATCTCAATAAATTAAAACAAAAATTATGAAATATAAATGGATGAATGCCTAAGATGCATCAAATCATCAATAATACCTGACTTAATCCCTCGACCATATACCTACTACTTGTTTTGTTCCTTGACTACCTTTTGTTCCTAAACTGGTTTCACACTAATACACTATGCAATTTATACTCAACTCAGTCATTAAGCATATTTTACTCTACTTATGAAGGGTTCTGTTACCAATCAATTCTTTGGTCACTCATATAAACGCAGAGGACAGAGGGGAGCGGAGACAGTTAGCAATCAAAGTGGCTAAGGGAAAGATCAAGCAAGCCATGAGAGTCATATTAGTATTAGTATTATTTAATTAGTCCTGCTTTAATTAGTATTCCTTTATTAGAGTTCTATTAGAATAAGCAACTTAGTTTCCTAATTGTTTTAGGAAACCCTTAACATCTATTTAAGGGGATCCTAGTAAATTTAATACACAGCTTTCTAGTTAATTAATTATGAGATCTCTTGACTAGGTCGGAGACCAATAATTATACGATTAAGCCTCTAGTTTTAGCTCATCTATTCCCAATCAATTAAAATAGCTTCAAGGACTTCATCGTTTACCTGTGGCCATTCTCGTTCACGCCCTTGGACGAGGTCGCTAACTCATGCACTTAACAACTTGGTATCAAAGTCTGGGACGATGGGGACAAAGTCTATGTGAAAGTATATTGGAATATACTTTAGAATATGCTTTAGAATATATTAGGAATATACCGTAGATATTATTATTGTATAGAATCTTATATAGGAATATTCTATTTGTAATGTATATTTATAGGGACTTCCACAACTAATGAACTTGAGTTTATATTTAATAGCATTGTAGTTTATATTTCAACATGGTATCAGAGACTTCCATTTTAGTTTAGTTTTTCATATTTCAGTTTAATTTCCAGGACCTTGAAGGAACTTGAGTTCAGTTTTTCAGATTCTTCAGAACCTCTAGGCACCATTCTAATTTCCCAGAAAATCAATTAGCCTGAGCTAATTTCCTAGAAAATTCCATAGCATACAGTCTGCCTCACCAGACCACAGAAACCAGTCCGACACCCAAACTCTACGCGACTGAGCTGTACGCGCTGCCACAGCTCGCTGACCTCAACTCACGCACCGGCACATGACGTCCATTCTGCGGCCAGATTTCCGATCGGAAAACGCCATCCAGCTCGCCTGCATATCGCCTATCTTCTGCTGTAGCTTCTCTTTGGGATGGTTGCGTTTCTTTCCAGGTCTTCAGTACGCTGACATCGAAAAGAGATCGTCCAGGCTACGCGGAAATCTTTTCTTCCTTCCAGGCTTCGTAACGGACATATACTTAATTAGTGACATCGAAAAGAGATCGTCCAGGGTCCGCCCCGCCCCGCTGTAACTTAATTAGCTAGTATATATTTTTATTTGTGGCAAGTTGCTACCAATTGAATCTACTTAAAGTTTATCTCTAAATAATAATTAAAAATTAATATATTAAATCAAATTCATGATACCCTAAAAATTTCAAAAATTAAGGAAAAATTACTCCGACTTGAATAGTTAATCTATTAAATTTTACTAATAATTGAACATATGTATTAAAATACTATATATAAAGAAGACATTGATAATCCGTCATTCATCTCATTCTAATATATGTATTAACATATTATAAGATCAAAGAATTCATGATTTAATGTATACACACATATGTATGTTGAACATATGTATGTTGAAGTATATTTGTAGTATAATTTAAGAAAAAATATGTATGTTTATGTATTGAGCGGGTCAGGTCAGGGCGGGTCAGGGCGGCACGGGTCAATACTAATACCCGGACCCGCCCCATTGTATAGCGAGGCGGGACGGACCCGCCCCATTTGGAAGACGGGTCGGGCCGGACCCGCCCCAAATGTCTCGGGCCAGGGCGGGTCACTGCGGGTCGGTTTTTTTACATCCCTAGAACAATTGCTATTTCTCAGACGAGTATGCCAAATTTATTTGCTACCAAGAATCACTAAAGCATTCATATGTCCCTACTTCGGTAGTTGTTAATTCAGGTATTTCAAACACATGTCTTGCCTCCTCATCCTCGAAATGGGTAATTGACTCAGGTGCCACAGACCATATGACTGGTAATCCTAGTCTATTCTCATCATTTCACTCATATTTACCTACTTCTAGTGTCACTTTAGCTGATGGATCTACCTCACCTGTTCTTGGATCCGGTACTGTTGTCCCAACTTCTACATTACCATTATCACCTGTTTTGAGTCTTCCTAATTTTGCATTTAATCTGCTTTCCATCAGTAAAATCACATGTACTCGTAATTGTTCTGTAACATTTTTTCCTGGATATTGTGTGTTTCAGGATCTGTTGACAAAGCAGACTATTGGTAAAGGACATGAGTCAGCTGGTCTTTATATTTTGGATGCGTCAATCACAAAAGGTATCTCTTGTCTTGGGGTTGGAAATCTATTAGAAGCTCATTACCGATTAGGACATCCATCTCTCGCACTAATGAAGCAAATATATCCTCAGTTTAATAAGGTGTCATCTATACAATGTGAGTCGTGTGAATTTGCAAAACATCATCGTATTAGTTTAAGTCCTCGACTTAATAAACGAGCAAACGCTCTGTTTGATCTTGTTCATACTGATGTTTGGGGGGCATGTCCTGTTGTGTCCAAATCTGGTTTCAAATATTTTGTTACATTTGTTGACGATTATTCTCGTATGACATGGTTATACTTTATGAAGCGTCGATCAGAGTTATTTACTCATTTTTCTGCATTTTGTGCTGACATTAAAACTCAATTTAATGTTCCTGTTCGTGTGTTGAGGAGAGACAATGCCCAAGAATATCTCTCTTCTCCATTTAAATCTTGTATGCTTCAAAATGGCATTATTCATCAAACTTCACGTGTAGATACACCTCCTCAAAATGGAGCCGCTGAAAGAAAGAATCGACATTTGTTAGAAACTGCAAGGGCTCATAATTGGTGTCCTTTTGTGCCACACCTCGGTTGACATGGCAAGGAGAAAGACAGGCAGAACAGTGGGACGACTATGATGAGAGGAGAGGGTAGAGGTTGTATGAGCTGTCATGTCTCATAATTGGTGTCCTTTTGTGATAAACTGCTAAATCATGTCCTAGTTAAAGGTTTGCCAATTTTCTCACCGAATTAATACTTGATGGCAGGCCAAAGTGGTGGCCACACAAATCCATGAATGTTGCATGTGTGAACGATCAGAGATGGTTCCTCTGGTGTTACTTGATTCACCCATAACTTCCACCATGTGTGGTATGCTGTGATCTCAACCCATTCCAATGAGGGGTGTGTGTTGATTTATGAAAAATGATTCAGCCTAGCAGACCCAATGTAAAGGACCCCCGGAACTGAAGTGCATCGAGTAATCAAAGTTGGGATACACGGATGAATGCAAGAGATGGCTGGACTTGTGTGTTGTGGGTAGAGACAGGTCATGCAGAGCAGGCTGTGGTTGTTATTTGTGTAGATAAATTTTTGCCATGCATGAAGGATTTAAATTTTTTAACATTTCATGCATTTCCCATGGCTCTTTTTAAGCTCATGGATTGTTGACGGGAGCAATTTGATTGGCCGATTGATCAGCAATTAACCTCATCGATTTATAGTAGTTGAGGGACTAAACTAGCCATTTAACTCTAAGATGCAGTGATCCATCCACTCATCGATACCTATTATTTGTAGGAAGTTCACTTATAAGACAAAATTATTTTTTATAACTCTGGTCAGTATAAGCAGAAGTTATATTTAACTACATCAAAATGAGAATCAAATACAGAAGGTGCAGCTTCTAAACTAAAAAGAACCAAGAAAGCAGTAGTGCATAAAACAAGTCCTCTAACAAACAAGTGAAAAGAAAATGAAAACAGAAATAAACAAAACATGATGGTGTACATAAAGCAATACCTTACATTAATAGGAGCCAGGTTATGCTTTTGAAATTCTCTGTTCTTGTAAGCTATAACAACGCTTCCCCACCTGAAGGGAGCAGACCATATCCTCCCTTGAGAATCTAGTTTCCCCTCATTACTCCTTTGTAAATATACCTGCCATTATTTCACATCGATAAGAACTATCAAAGGGGTCAGTCAGAACGAAAGAGCATCGTAACAATCAATTCAAAAGAAATTTGACAACAAAAAATGGAAGACCCAGATGTTCATTGGTTTCTAGTTTACATCCATGCATGAATACATTTGATCTATGACTCATTCTATATAAGTTACAACTTAGCTAATATTTCTTCCCAATAAAGTCCAGGTACGATGGCTCAAATGCCCTGAGCTGCTGAAGATTAAAAGAACAAAAAAGTTCAACTACTGTTTCATCTTTTCTGTAGCGACTAAATTTCAATCACCACTTCATTTTAGCTTTAGTACGGTTTCTGTCTTTACAAATATAGTGTGTTTAAGAGCCCAACAAAAACAGTTTTTTCTCTTTATTACTACCTCCGTCCCTATTAAATGTTCCCATTGCAAAATGGCACGGATATTTAGACAATACTAAATATCTTAATTCGAGTATATTTTGAGAAATAATTTTGATAGTTATAGAATATAATGGGGTCATTGATGGTAATTGTGATATTTTAGATGTAATTTTTAAAATATTTGATGATTAAATTGTCATTTAAGAGTGCTAATGATAGGTACTAGCTAATTCAAAGAGAATTCAAAAATCAAAGATGAAGAAAAGAGATAGTGTAACAACGGAAACTGTCATATAACAGACAATAAAGAGAGAAATACAAAGACAATTAAAGAGTGCCAACTCTCCAAGTCCCAAGCCCAAATGATAATTCCAGCCTCCTATTCTACCCTCCACCTCTATTTATACTAACTATTCTAATAGTATCATTACTCTCATTTATTATTATCAATGCCACTCTACCCGAGTCCTATCAGCTAATTGTTTCCTAAAATAGAAAACTATTCTAATAGTATCATTACTCTCATTTATTATTATCAATGCCACTCTACCCGAGTCCTATCAGCTAATTGTTTCCTAAAATAGAAATGAGAACCTTTAGAAAAAAGAAAAATGGGAACCTTAGGCTGGGACGGAGGGAGTATGTTTTAAGTTTTAACATAGGTTGATAGAGCGGGACTCATAAAAAATTGGTGTAAACTGCACAGATTAATAACATTTTTTCTGTAGGAGCAGATCCAAAACAAATAAAGCATTATGCATTTCATTTCTCAACATAGCATTATGTTGTAATAACACCTTGTGGAGGGGGCAACAGAAGCAAATCATAATCCAAGGAATAACATAATACACAAAATAGTAAGTAGGTAGGTATGTAGGTAAATAAATAAATAAATAAATAAATAAATAAATAAATAAATAAATACATAAATAAATAAATAAATAAATAAATAAATAAATAAATGAATAAATAAATAAATACTCACCTTCCATTTGTCACATAACCCATTTTTAAACCAGTCTTCGTCTTCTACCCTTTGCATTGGCTCAATTAATCCATTCTTAATGGCGAAACTAAGCCATGCATCACCAAGAGCAACAACATCAGCTGCCACTGCAGATTTTCTATTTACAACTCCTTTCTCGAACGCCATAGAAAGTTCATGAAATATGTCTTGAGAACTACGACGAAAGTCTGGACATAGTTTCGCTCTCCTGCCTTGAGAACTCAAAAAATCCTACAACATTAACAAAAGTATAGCATCACTCACTCTTCAAGAAATTGCAGATCGATTTGTAATCTGATGGCTATGAGAGGAAAACAGAGTGGAAATTCAGGACAGAAATGTTGAGTAGAAATAAAAAATTGGTTTATATCAATAATTCAATTTTAGATATTCTCAAACCTATATATGTGTGTGCGCATACAACATATACTCCGAACATATAACATATTTTGTCCGTTCCATAAACATTGCAAACTTTCCTTTTAGGCCGTCCCAAAAAACTTTGTCAATTCTATTTAAAGTAATGAATATGTGGCTACAATTACTTATTATTCTAAACCATATAGTTTTTAATTGGGAAGTTTCAATATAATTGTAACATTTCCGCTCAAGGCAATAATTAATTAGTGATAATTTTAGTAAGTTAGATTTTATATTGTCTTTTAGATTGATGGTGGTCCATTTCAGTAATACATTTATCAAGACTAAAATGTTCCTATCTATTTGAATTAAATAATGCCTAAACTTTTTGAAATTGTGAATGATATTTGGCCATGTGGCTTGCTTAAACTGTTCTAGAAATTTATATCTCCCATTTACTTTGCATCTAAGCTGCCACCCAAAAATATTCTCTGGAGACTTCACCATCCTACTTCTCATGTGTCCTTCTGATAGATACCAGCGATTTCAGAGGAGATTAGAAGAAATATTTGTATATTAATTCTCTGAATTACAGCAGAACGAAGAAATCAAAGATGAACAGTAGAAATCGATACGAGACAAATTCGAGAGTGTCTCTCTCTCCCAAGCCAAAGCCTAACCCAATTTCTGCCTCCTTTTTATTCTATTCTCGGCTCCTATTTATAATACTTTGTTTACGGGCCAGCCCATAACTAAATAATACCAGGCCTAGACCCCTTTTAACAAAATAACAAACTATGTTACATTACTTTATGATTATTATACTAATAGGTTCCTATCATATCTCCCCCCTTAGACAACCACCTTGTCCTCAAGGTGGGTGATAGGAAACAGCCTTAACTTTCGACTTCATCTTCATCCTGGCACCTCTTCCTTCCCAATACATCCCGAATTTCTGGACCAAGATTTCATTACTTGACCCTTCATCACCCCTTTTGAACAAGGCTGTCCACAACCCGGTTTATCCAGATTCTCTTCAGAAAAAGGTATGTTGTCACTCTGGAGAACATAATGGTTGTTCTCTTGCTCAAGTTTCCCGGTAGACCAGCAAATGTTCTCAATAAATTGCAACTCTCTGGGTTTGTCAGTATGAAAAAGGAATAGAGTTCACTGCTTTTCATATCACAAACAATTGGTACTCTAATAATGTCTCCAAATGATCTAGGAAGATTAAAGTCTACTGACTTTACTTTATCAATGTCTTTCAATTTTGTAAGCCCAGATGACCCATCAAGTTTAGGTATCCTTAAAACTTCTTCAAATCCAATTTCACTCCCACCATAGACATTAGCCGAACAATGCAACAGAATAACAGGAAACCTTTTACTTCCAGATGATGGTTGTAAGTTAACAATGCTATCACACTGATTTTCCGCCTTGTGGCCTTCTGAATAGTCTGGCAGAGACAAGTTCAAACAACTTCCAAACAGCTCCATATTTTGCACTCCTGCACCCTCTGTTTTTGGGTGTAGCCTATTATCAACAATGTGGTGAAGATTTTGACCAGGTCCTTGTGAAGCATTAGGATTATTAACATTTTGAGAAGTGACATGCAGAACTCTACCAAAAGCCGAGTTGAAGAATTCCATAGAACCTTTTGAAACATCAGAAGCTGGCATCCAAGAGAAACAGGAACTGCAGTTGTGCCAATTTCAGGTCCAACGACCACTGACAATTTCTCGTCGTTTTTATTGTCGCCTTCAGTGAACTCTGCATTTTCTCCAAATTGCGAAGCACTCCTATCTATAGACAGAAGAGTCTAGACAGCTCTAGAGATCAGTTACATGAGTTACAAAATAAATTAGAATATTTGTATTTAATATTTCAGTTACAAATCTTTGTATTTAATATTATAATTAGTAGCCTAGCTCTAAAATGTTGTATAAATAGGATATCATTTCATGGAATGAATCAAGCTTTTCAGTCTCAAATCCTCCTTATTCTAAACTTTATTATGGTATCAGAGCCTCTAGAGGCCTAAACGGCCTATTCTCTTCACTGAACTATCCTCCCCGCATCACATTTCTCTGCCCATGGCTCATGAAAATAATAGAGACAAAAGTCCAGAAGACGTGAATGATAACTCAACGTCATCTCTATCAGCCAATAATCCCCTAACCCCGGATGGCCTTGTTATGCTCAGCCCTAACCAATTCCCAGAAAAACTAGATGGATCAAATTACCTTGTATGGAGAGACCAAGTAATGGACCTTCTGTTCGGGTCTCATCTAGATCAGTATATTGATGAAAAAATCAGTCCTCCTCCAGAAACTGAAGCTGCCAACTTTCTGCGATGGAAGAGACAGGATCGTCTGGTGCGGCACGCTCTTGTATCTTCTCTCAGTTCCGCCTGCAAACCGCTGGTTGGGTCTGCAAAGACCTCCGCCTCCGTCTGGAAAACACTGGAACGCCTATACGGGACCCGGTCAGCTTCCAAAATTCGAAGTCTTAAAGACCAGTTCCGCCATGCTAAACAGGGGTCGCAACCTGTAGCAGAATATCTTCACCACCCTCGCACCTGAACTAGCCATGGCCGGCCGACCTGTTGACGATGAAGACTTTGCCATTCAAGCCCTGGAGGGTCTTCGTCCCGAGTTTGAATCCGTGGAGAACTCCATCCGCCCAGATGAAACTAACTTCGAAGAACTCCACTCCTTACTGGTCAGATTCGAAGACAAGTTGCGAAGGAGGGAGCTCTTGAATTCCGCGGCTGTTGTTACTGCGAACGCAGCGACGGTAGAAAGAAAAGAGGAAGAAGACAGTTCGGTCGCAATGACCGTTCGCAGAAGTATAGACCAGAACGCGTCTATATTAGGCCCAGGTCCATCAGCCCAGTTTCAGACTCTACCCAATAGGCCCAATACTCAGAATAAATTTTTTTTCAAAAATCAAAATCGAGGCCCACGTCCCAGCAACTTCTACAATTCAAATCGACGTGGAAATAATAATCCCGGGGGCAGGCGTACTAATTTTGGGGGAAATACCAGTCCGGGTGCTGTTATATGTCAAATTTGTAGCAAACCGAACCATCTCGCTATAAACTGTTGGCACAGGTTTGAACAACAAAATTATCCCCCCAGGTCAATACTGCCACGACCAGGAGAACCGGATGGTTGCTGGACTCGGGAGCAACTAATCATGTCACCAATAATTTAAACAATCTTACCCTGGCGTCCGATTACACCGGCACAGACTCCCTCATTATTGGTAACGGTAAAAGTCTTGAAATTGCACAAGTTGGGAATATGACCCTTCATTCTCTCTCCTTACCTAATACTCTTTTTGTTCCTTCTATTCATACTAATTTAATTTCAGTTGCCAAATTATGTCGTGACAATGATGTACTAATCGAGTTTCACCCTTCTTTTTGTCTTGTCAAGGACCGGAAAACGGGAGCAATTTTGTTACGGGGTATGAATAAAGGTGACGTCTACAGCTTGCCTGATGTTCCTGTTCCTTCATCACCATGTGTCAATGTTACTACAAAATTTTCTCTAAATAAATGGCATTGTCGTTTAGGACATCACTCAAAAAGTTATTTCCTCATTAGGTATTTCCTTTAAAGATGTTAATAAGGATTTGTCCTTATGCACTTCATGCGCAAGTAATAAAAGTCACAAGTTACCTTTTGCTAAATCTTCCCTTTCAAGTTCAGGTCCACTTGATTTAATTTATATAGATGTTTGGGATCCCTCACACATTAATTATGTGGATGGTTTTCGTTATTATGTTATTTTTGTTGATCACTACACAAAATACATTTGGTTTTACACTATCACTCACAAGTCTGAGGTAACTTCAATTTTTCAACAATTTAAGAAGATCGTAGAAAACTTTTTCAAAAATCTATTAAAATGGTTTATTCAGATGGAGGGGGTGAATACATATCCCTAGGGAAATTTCTGGCCTCTTGTGGTATTACTCACTTACTGACCCCTCCATATACCCCTGAGCATAACGGCTTCGCTGAACGCTGACATCGTCATATTGTAGAAACAGGGATCACTTTACTTCACCACTCTTCTATGCCGTTAAAATATTGGTCATACGCCTTTTTAACTGTTATATATCTAATTAATAGGCAACCAACAGCATCTCTAGGTTTTTGTACTCCCTATGAAAAACTTTTTTAAAAACCTCCCAATTACACAAAACTTGCTATTTTCGGATGTCAATGTTTTCCATGGCTCCGTCCTTATGCAGCTCATAAGTTAGAACCACGGTCCAGACCTTGTATTTTCCTTGGGTATTGCGATCAACAAAGCGCTTATCGCTGTCTTGATCCTACTACCAATCACATCTTTTTTAGTCAGCATGTGGTGTTCAATGAGTCTGTCTTCCCTTTCTCTAATAATACAACACCCGTTACAGATCTGTCCTCTGAAATTGACAGTTGGCTTCAACCTCCTATCTCTTATCTTCTTATCTCAGGTACATCACTAGCAAAGGCGTCTCCTACTACTCGTACCCCAATAACACAAGACTCCCCTAACCCTGCTCCTCATAACACTCCACCAACTTCTAACCCACCGGTCCTCATCATTTATCACCGCCGGCCCAAACAAAACCCAACTACTCCATCCTTACCTAATGTACCCAACACCAACCCCTCGACCATTACTCCCACTACAAATAATCCCATATCTACCTTGGGTCATCATCATGATCCAAAAGCCTCTCCACCCAAACGTACCCACCCAATGACCCTTCGTTCTCGTAAACAAGCTAATGTTGTCACTCACTCACCATTACCTCATCATATTATTCCTACTTGTGCTTCTCAAGCTTTACAGGTACCTGAATGGAGGAAG